GGTCCATCCAATCCTTAGATATAGAGAGGAAGGAGAGTTCCCCTCCTTATTAAGGAGCAGCCGGATTATCACGGGCGATTCAAAGTTTACTTCAGGATGTCAGTGGCTCAGTTTGATGCTTTGCAAGTGAAACTAGAGCCACATATTAAAAAATATTTCTGTGAACTTAAGTGTGCAAGGATCTATACAGTGCTTTGTGCTGCGAGACGAAGTGGATCAACTTGTCAGACACCATTCTGGATTTTGGCATTCGCTTGTACGGTGGCTCTGAACTGTCAAAACACCTCTCAAAATGCTTGCTACGGATGCGAAAAACGCAGAAAATCGAACCCAAAAAGTTTAGAAGGCAGTGTTAAATTTATATAACCCTGGTTTCACACAAAGAGTTCATACAGCTTGAATGCTGCTGTTATTAAAGCAAAAGAGGGACAAACAAAATACTAAGACATTCTGCGATGTTCATTTTTTGCAATTTAATTTCTTGTTATAATATAATTTAAAATGCACAATGTTGGATTAAATTAGAAAAGAATGCAAAATAGAAGCATTTTCATTACTTCAGACCCACACTGTATAGTTTACCTCCTATGTTTCACCTGCTGATTTCGAGTGTATATGTGCAGTCAACACTTTTCTCCTAAATATGCTGATTAAAGTAAATTTCATCAATGCAGTTTCACAGCAGTGCAGACCCCTCCTCTCCAACTGAGTCACACACACCTCGACACACTGCTGCAGTGCTAATCATCATGCCAACAGACACACCCACCCATGCGCACATATAAGTGTGCACTCATACAGAGACAGCAGACTAAACTGTATTTTTAGACACACTGGGTTTATCTATAAGTTTTGCAGACTGTGAGACAAATGAAGCTCACGTTCTTTTTTCTAAACCTCATGTCACATGTGCTCGTCTATTCTGAATAACCCTGCCAAACATAAATGCACACACTGTGGTTGATGCAAAGACAAATCTGATAGCATGTGGTGATGTGTTTTCATTTTGGAGCTTACTGTACACAGGGTGAGTCTGCAACTACAAGAGTTGTGGATGTGAGTGTTTGTGTCATAATGTGCGTGTTGTGTCTGTGTTAAATCAGACAGTCTAGACTGAGCTCTGTGGTCTCGGAGAGGTAAAAGCACCTAAACTGAACACCGAAATGATACTGAGTGTTACTGCAGAGACAGAGAGAAGGAGAGAAAGAGAGAGTACTGCAATGCAGACATCAGCAGTGCCTAATATGGCAGTGTCCAGTCCTCCATCTCATCCACCCTACACTTTACACCCTACAACACCCTTAACTGAAGCGCACACTGCAGCTTACACACAGCCACCAAAAACAGCACAGTTTGCCAGTTTACCAGTTCAGGACCAGCAGATTCATGTTATTTAAAGGAATAGTGCCTTAAAGGAATAGTTCACCAAAAAATGAAAATTCTGTCTTTAATTACTCACCCTCATGTCATTCTAAACCCGTTCGTTCATCTCTGGAACACAAATTAAAGGGATCATATGATGCAATTTCAATTTTTCCTTTCTCTTTGGAGTGTTACAAGCTCTTGGTTCATAAAGAAGATCTGTAAAGTTGCAAAGACTAAAGTCTCAAATCCAAAGAGATATTCTTTATAAAAGTTAAGAGTCAACCACACCTACCTAAACGGCTCATTCTAACACGCCCCCACATACCTACCTCACTATCTGGAAAGATTTGCATAACACCGCCCAAATGTTCACGCAAACAAAGAAGGCTTAACTTTGATTCTCGCTGTAGTATTGTTGCCGCTGCCGCCATGTCATGGAGACTCTGTGTGTTTTTCGTTGTGAAAGCGAAACTACTTTGTTTGGCCTTCCAAAAGAGGACATAACTAGAAATCAGTGGTTAATTTGTATTTACAACACTGTTCCAGAACAGTTCAACCCAAATATTCAGATGTGTGCAGCGCATTTTATGGAGGACGAGGACTGTTTCCTGAGAGAGTAGCCTACAATGCCGGTGTCTGTTTCTATAAAGTGGGGCAATTCCAACTTTGCAAGAACAGTCTGGCGCGTCTGACTCACAGACTGTAAGTAAGTTTTTATATTTAAAGAATTTGCCACTGACGATTCAAACGCGAGTTTTGAGGAGTGTAGAGTAGCACTTGTTGTTTGTTGTTTCTCCGATCACAAATGCAGACATGGTTTTATGTTTACACAGCACGATACACAACGCAACGCATAAAAAGACAGTATCAGTCATTATAATCAGTAACTATGTCCCCACTGGATGCAACAAATGCCTCGTTTATATTGGGTTTTACTGGTTTTGTCTCGTCGCTCCAGCCGGGACAAGGCATCACAATATGGTGAGGGGCGTAACATTTCCGTCACATGCCTGAGGTATTCGGCCAATCACAACGCACTGGATAGCTGACCAATCAGAGCACACCTCGCTTTTTAGAACGATGAGCTTTGTAA